GGACAGGAACTTCAGTCATAGCCTTTTTCAAGTTGCAGAAAGCTTCCTTTGTTGACTTACTCCAGTTAAACCCATCCTTCTTTAATAGTTCGGTCAATGGCCAAGCTATCTTTGCATACCCTTTTACAAATCGTTTATAGTATCCGGTGAGGCCCAAGAAACTGCGCAACTCTCGCAAGTTCCTGGGTACGGGCCAACTACACATTGCCTTAACCTTCGACTGGTCAGCCGCCACTCCATTCCTTGATATAATATGGCCCAAGTACTCCAATTGAGGCTGTGCAAAGGTGCATTTCTTCTCGTTTGCATATAATTGGTGCTGCTGTAAGCAGGTCAACACAATGTCCAAGTGGGCTTGATGTTCCCCCAAAGATTTACTGTATATTAAAATGTCATCAAAGAAGACCAACACAAATTTTCGGAGGTAAGGCCGAAAGACATCATTCATCGGTCCTTGAAAAGTGGCCGGGGCATTCGTAAGCCCAAACGGCATGACCAAGAACTCATAATGGCCCTCGTGAGTTCGAAATGCTGTCTTTGGAACATCTTAGTGTCTCATCCTTATCTGGTCATAACCTAATTTCAGGTCCAATTTGGAGAAGATGCTCGCTCCATGTAACTCATCCAACAATTCATCAATTACTGGTATCGAAAATCTGTCAGGAACTGTCACTTTATTCAACGCTTGGTAATCCACAGAAAAGCACCAGCTCCCGTCTTTCTTTTTAACCAACAAGACAAGACTAGAGAATGGGCTACAGCTGGGTTGGATTATCCTTGCTTCTAACATACTCCGCACTAACTTCTCAATCTCGTTCTTCTGGAAATACGGGTAGTGGTACGGTCTCACATTAACCGGGACTGCCCCAGTTTGTAGCACAATCGCATGATCACGAGAACGCTCTGGGGGTAACTCGTTAGGCCACTCAAATACCCGACGGTGACGTTGTAGGACCTCCATCACCTCGCCCGAGTTCCCCACCCCTTCTTCCTCATCATTCAGGCTCAGACTCCCCAATTCCAGAAGTACTCCCTGATCCCCTTCCTTAAAATTTCTGGCCATTGACTTGATGGAAACTTGAGTCTTCTGCAAACTAGAGTCGCCTTGCAACACGACCAATTCGCCTCCCACCTTAAATTTCATTATCAGCTTCCCCCAATCCACTTGCGTTTGGCCCAGGGTGCCTAACCACTTCATTCCCAAGATCAGGTCGGTACAACCCAGCATTAGAGGGAGGAAGTCATCCACCACTTCGATGTTGGATAATGTCACAACTATACCTTTACAAACCCCTCCTCCTTTGACTGTAGTTCCTGATCCCAAAGTAACCTCGTAACAGTTGGTCCCTATTACGGGAATTTCCAGCATCTTTACCAACTCCATAGATATGAAGTTGTGGGACGCTCCGCAGTGAATTAGCACAATGATTTCGTGACCCATTAAGGAACCAGCTACCTTCATTGTCTTAGGGGTGGTCAGTCCGACCACCAAGTTGAGAGATAACTCCACCCCTTCTTGCACCTCATTCTCCTCCGAATCAGTTCCCTGTTCCATCGACTCCACCCCTACTTCCTCCTCCTGGACGACAAGCACTTGTAGCTCCTTGAGGCGGCATTTGTGACCCGGCTGATATTTCTCGTCACACTTGTAACATAATCCCTTCTCCCTTTTCATTTGAAGCTCCGCATTAGTAAGTCTCCGATATGGTGTTGCCCCTTTTCCACTTACCAGGCCGCGCAGGTTCGTGGTCGAAAGCCTCGGAGTTGCTGTTGTAACTCGCTGGAATGAAGAATTGTTGTGTGTCTGAGAGTTCCGGAAGGGATTTAATGGGCTGTAGGTGTTGTTTGGGTTACTTTTAATTTTCGTTGGGCCTTGCTGAAATTGGGCCTGGCCAATAGCTTCATTTCTATCCTCAACTTGTTGGACCAGAACCATAGTGTGGGCTAATCCCCTGGGCTTCATCATCCTTACTTCAGACCTTATAATGGGAGTCAACCCATTTATGAAATTGCATTCCAGTACTTCTTCTGGTATCGTTGATGGTAAGGGCGCAGCCATCGCCTCGAATTGTCGCCAGTAATCCCTTACAGAGCCCCCCTGTTTGAGCGCCAGTAATTTCTCCAGCTGGTACCCTCCTGTGATGGCCGAAACAGCTCCAGAATTTAGGTTTTAAGGTCTTCCCACCGGCGCATGTGTTGCCGGCTATCTTCCCATTGGAACTAGGCTAGCGCTTCACCCTCGAAACAAATTGCTGCTGCCTCCAATTTCTCCCAATTCGTCATTTGATTCATGCTGAAATACCTCTCAGCTCTAAATAACCATCCATCGGGATTCTCACCATCGAAGATGGGCATTTCCAATTGGCGGGTTCGGGTTTCTGACCGGTTATCTTCCTCTCTTAATTTCTTCCCCTCCTGGCAGCCACCTGACTCGTCGGACATGGTTGTGACCTCGGGGTTATTTGGGAAATCGGAGGTAGTTTCTGGGCTATTCTTCTCCTTCCTTCTTCTTTCTGCTTCTACCCACTGTGTTATCATTGCATCAATTTTTTCCACAAGTGATGCCATATCCTTCTGCACACCCTCTATCTTCCCTTCCAACGAGTCCACTCGATCTGATAGGGTCATCCTTTCCCAGGTGTCAGATGCTCTGATACCAAAATGATAGAATCCTGAACTGAAATTCACAGATTGTAATGCAAAAGAAGAAATAACTCTGAAATTGAATGGAACTTTTATTGAACTGAATAATAACCCAAACAGCCAAGAGCATTCGAGAGGCCCTACTCTCCTACTAGACACGTGAATTTTCCATGAGATCACTACCTTTCCCCCCATTACATTTATTGGCAATATTCTAACTGACTGACTACCCTTCCCCAACGACTAACAAAAATAACAAACGGCATGCATAAGAATTAATGGATATTACTTAGCTGACATGGCATCTGACTGGACTATTCCCCTATTTGGCACCTGACTGGGTGGTTTTCTATTCTTTTGTTCATATATAAAGATCACCATGGGCTTATCATACTACTTGCACTTGCAGCCATGAGAAGTTGGAAATTATATCAGCTGGATGCTAAATCTACTTTCTTGAATGGCATGTTGAAAGAGGAGATATATGTAGAGAAGCCAATGTTGTTCATCATTGCTCGAAAGGAGGACAAAGTTTACAAATTGAAGAATGCGCTCTATGGTTTAAAACAAGCGCCTAGAGCATGGTATAGCAAAATTGATGGTTATCTTCAACAAAAAGGATTTCAAAGAACTCAAAATGAAGCCACTCTTCATGTAAAAAGGAGGGAAAATGCAGGTGTTTTGATAATTTCTCTATATGTGGATGATTTGTTGTTAATGGGAGAAGATGAAGTGGAGATGAACAACTTTAGGGATGAAATGAAGCAACAATTTGAAATGACAAATCTTGGAGTTATGAGCTAACAATGTTTTTGGCCGAATTGAATTTCCTCTGTGTGGGATCCTTGCAATATATAGAATTCCCAAAATTACATATGTAAATTATAATTACAATCTAAATATGTACAATCTAAATATGGTAGTATATCAATCCGTAATCTTCGTGATCTTGTGATCTCATTGACATGAGCTACTTTCTTGGCATGGAGATTTATCAAACCGATCATGGTATATTCATCCCTCAAAAGAAGTATACAGAGGAAATTTTGAGGGAATATAAGATGGAAAATTGCAAGCCAACTGAAACGCCTCTTGGAGTTAACGAAAAACTTTCAAAAGAAGACGAGGCAGGAAAGGCGAATGAAGGTACTTATAGAAGTTTAATTGGAAGCTTGTTGTACTTAACTTCAACAAGGCCAGACTTGATGTTTACAATGAGTCTTCTTTCAAGGTTTATGCATTCTCAAAGTGATATCCATTTCAAAACAGCAAAATGAGTCTTGAGGTACTCAAAAGGAACTACTGGTTTTGGAATGTGGTTCGAAAAATCTGTAGATGGATGTTTGAGGAGCTATTCTGATAGTGACTGGGCAGGTAGTGTGGATGATATGAAGAGCATTTCGGGGTATTGTTTCTCTTTTGGTTCAGACATATTTTCATGGAATTCGAGAAAGCAAGAAGTTGTTGCGCAATCCACCGCCGAGGCAGAATATATAGCCACAGCAGCTGCAAATCAAGCTATTTGGCTCAGCAAATTTTTATGTGATTTGGGATTCATTCCAAAAAAGGCTACAGAGATTTATTGTGACAATAAGTCTGCTATAGCAATGTCAAAGAATCTAGTTCATCAAGGAAAAGCAAAGCACATAAAGATCAAGTATAATGTTGTGAGGGAGGCTGAGAAAAATGAAGCAATGTCAAAGAATCTAGTTCATCAAGGAAAAGCAAAGCACATAAAGATCAAGTATCATGTTGTGAGGGAGGCTGAGAAAAATGAAGAGATCAGTCTTCAGTATTGCTGTTCAGAGAATCAAATTGCAGATATCTTCACAAAAGCTCTTCCTAAAGTTAGATTTGAATGTCTAAGATCAATGCTTGGAGTCAACAAAATGCTCAAGGAGGAGTGTTGATATAATGATCTTTTTGCTGTACAGGGCAGTGACTTTTACTGTTGCAATGAGTTTTGTAATGTATGATTTTTCCCTTAATTTAAGCAAAGTTCTCCGTACTTTTTGTAAAATATATGGTGTAAAAATGTGAAGTCTTATGTAGTAGGTAGAGTGATTGAAAACTTATCGAAGGGGATGTATGTATGCATCAAAAAAACGTTTTTGATATAGAAGAAAAACTCTCTGCTTTTTTACATCTCAGTTTTCTCTCCAGCAGTATCAATTTTTTCCTTCCAGCAGCATCTCAATTTTCTTTCAGCATCATCATCAGAAGAAGAACTCTTCTCCATTCAAACACTCACAAGTTCATATGAGAAAAGATAGCACATTTCCATGTCTAATTGATATTGTCTCAACAGTGATAATGAAGATTACTATGCTATGCAAAGCTCAAATAATTTTGCTTACATATTCTCATTGCTATCCAAAATCCATCCAGGTACATCTTCACTTAGATAGTTATGAGACAGAAACCTACATCATAAGGTACAAAAAATTCAACTCTTGATGATAATTTTTATTCAAACAAAGAAAGTAAAACTTTTTGTGAAAATTCAATGAAGTAAAGGAACGTATAACAAAAGAAAGTTTATATTCCAAGAGTACGATGCGTACAGGAATACCAATCTCGACAATCCCTGAAGTTTATTCGGGATTTGACCATTCAACATGTTGAAACTCAGGTCACTGCAAATAAACATTTGAAAATATAAATTTCACTAGGATAAAACAATAAAGAAGAATACAAACATCAATATAAAGTTTAATTCTGGAAATAAATAACATTAAACAGTTGTGTTTATGCCCCAAAATAAACCATTGGAAGACTATATATATAAACATTCATCGCATCTAACTCAATGTCAAATAAAGAGCCAACAAGAATTAGGAATGTCAAAATCCATATAAGGGGTTTGCTATCAATTCTAAGATGGAATTAGGCTTTCTCCTATCATTAATTGTTCTAACTCAGGATATAATAAGATGAAGTCAAAACGCTCACTAAATGGAATAATATTCTTTCTCAAAATCATTAAAAATAAAAAAATTATCATAAAAGAAAGACTTACATTGTTTTTAAACTCTTCAAGTCTCCTATATATTCTGGGATTGGACCATCGATTGAGCAATTTCTTAATGTCCTGAATTCACAAGAAGGACTCATGACATGTATGTGCCAGAAAAACTACATCTAATAAATAATTTTTTTTTAGTGTTTTCTGGAAATAATACGATACTCACAACTCCTCCATGGCTGTCAGGTTTTGCAAATTGGGGAAATTTATGGTTGGTCCGCTCAAATCAGATATCCTCCTGACAATGAAAATGCAATTGATTAAAAATGTTCTCTTTGAGATTCTGATCTATATGATCATCTGTAAAAGTTGACCTTTATCTTCTTTTCTTTTGTTGGAACAAATAGTAAAAGATATAATGCCTTTGCTAAGACAATATTTTGGCTTACAATTGTGTCAAGTTTTTTAACTGGGATATTGTGGAAGGAATGGGGCCCTCCATTGATGTGCCTTGCATATCTCTGCAATGAATTTAGATATTCTATCAGCTTGCTATCAGGACGCGTGAAGTCATCATTATTCATGAAAAATCAAGCGAGAAATTAAGTACAGATACCAGTAGGATACTCACAGTCTATGAAGTTTGGTCCAGTTGCCAATTAAATCTGGTATCTTTCCTGTTATTCTGGTGCCGTCGATCCTACTGCAAACAGTTTACTAAAGTTCAGATATATTCAAAGTTCATAATCAAATGAGGCGCAGTTCCTTCTCTTGGCTTAAATGTTCTATTAAAAACAGATCTAAACTTTCAAATTTATATGCAGAAAATGGCTGTCCCCAGATTAGAACTCAAGACCTTATGGTCGTTTTACTTACCAGTGCCCTAGCCAATGGCCTAGCAAACTTTACAGATATCTTAGACCTAAATCCAATATACTCAAATACAGTTAACGACTTACAAATCTGTCAAGTTCTTTAGATTACTGAATGTCTCCGGTATTGTCCCGTTGAAACTGTTTGCAGAAAGAAGGCTGCAGGGACAAGTCCAATATTAGCAATCTAAATTATCTTGTCAATGAAGGGTAGAATTATGTGATGACATATCAAAATAAATAAACAAAAACGATGACACAGAATTATGCATATAAAAATGGTCCAATCGTAATAATGAAAAGAAAAAACACAATAGTTGTCCCTTCAAAATACATCATGAGCAGACATGTCTCTAACCATCGTAATTGCAAACAGTTTCTAACAATCAAAAAAGCATTTGTAAACTTTCTTGTGCTGATATTAAGAGAGCTTGAAGTTAGAAAACAGTAATAAAATAACTAGAAAAGCATTGGTGGATATCTAACTTCTACAACGAAGTAATGAATAAAACTGCTGCAACCATCTTACAAAAAGAAAAAGAGAGAGGCCCGAAAATATTGTAAAAAAACATTGAGATCATGTCGAGTGGCCTTACAGTCTCCTCAAATTTCTCAGACTTCCCAAGTTTTGTGGAATATTTCCTTCGAGCTGATTATCTTCCAAAATCCTACAATACAGTTCACATCATAAGCACAGCTGGTATAGTTGCTTCCTCGGATATAATATACCATAATACCATATTTATCACTCACAGCTCTTCCAAAGTGCTAATATCACCAAGTTCATTCGGAATTATGCCATTGATACGGTTTCCAAGAAGTGACCTGTTATGAAGATGATAGCGAATATATTCAACCACTCTATATAGGTAGGTAGGAACAGGAGTTTGGAGGTCCCATTAAGAAGAACTTACAAAGTAATAAGAGGAAGCTGACCGAAGATTGGAGGAATTGATCCATAGATATAATTGCGAGTTAGATCTCTGGGATGATAAAGAAGTCATGTAAGTGTTCTGCTTTAGATGAAAAATGAGGGAAAAAGACAGAATAGAAAATATTAGCTCAATGCAACTGCTTTAATTTCAGAAGCAAAAATAGACTCGTATCGAACTATACCTTCTATGTAAATTAACAAATGAAAGTAAATGACTGGCATACATATTCAATCAACTCAATAGAGTACCCAAAATAACAATGTTGCTACTTACAACTCTTTTAGATAAGTAAGATTCGCAAATTCTGCAGGCAAGATTCCAGTCAAATTGAAACCCTTCATCTGGCTGTACATACAAAGTAGAGTTGAATTTGAAACATGACTTAAATAAATAACAATTTCTTAATGAATAATGACCGTGTTAATCATCTCAATTCACCATAAGAACACCCCCCTTGAGGGTAAAATGAGAGAAGAAAACAAAACATTAGGTACATTTCGACTCCCTGGGCTATATGGAAGAGGCTCTTTATATCTATTTCATAACCATTGTATTTCTTCTTAAAACTCTCAATGCAAAATATGGAGGCCATAAATACAACAAAGTCAATTAAATTTTAAGCCTAGCCAAACATGTCTAAGCTTAGAAGTTTTTTTAAGCAACTATTCTTTTCAAACACATTGGCTTGTTCATTCACAAATTTACTTTTCTTAAAAAAGTAATTTTACGTTTCTCTTTAGATCTGACTTCGTGCTCTTGCTTCCTCCTTCCCCATCTCTGAGGCTTAGGTGGAGGAATGGAGCATGTGGAAGGACACCAGTGGCTGTATACAATCCAAGGATCCGCGTGAAGATTGGCCAAACATGCTTTATGCATATTGGGTTAAAACTAATTTTTTGTTATTAATCAAAGATTTTAATTTTTTTCTGTCAATATTGTCCACTACTATCACATCCACCTTACCAAATTGCCATAAATGTACAATCACAAAAACTTTGAACGAAAAAAGAGTAAGAGCATACATGTGCGTCACATGGCAAACAGTCTTGTTAACAAATGAACAGTCACAAGTCACATTGCTGTAGACATCGTCACCCCAAATGGTCATGTTAAAACCGGTACTCTCACTGCAAGATCTTCGCGTAACATTCCAGTATTTGTTTTGTAATCTCGATGATATTCTTTCAAGAACTTGTACTGTCAAAGCATAAAAGCAACCATAGAATATATGAGAAATCAAACAAAATCTGTTTTTCTTCTAAATAACTGTACTGAAATACAGTTCTTTATCTTATCTTAACAGAAATCCTTGAATGAAAAGTTGAATAAATAAATAAAAAATAAATAATCCATTATTGCAAAATAATTGCCATGGGAAGTCCATCTCTTTCTTATCTTTTTCATATTATACTTATACTAACATAATTAAGAAGTACCAAAAATACCCGATAGGCTATCAATTCAATGAATAGGAAAAATATCAAGCAAAAGAATACCCAGATTAACTTCCAGATTGAATAGGCAGTTACAGTAATACAGAAATGCATGAATCACAGTAAAAAAAAAAAAAAAAAAAAAGGGAAAACCTTCAATTCTTGCTTAATTATCTTAACAGAAACACAGAGACGTTGCTTAATGAAGGTGAGCGTACCTTCGTTTTCAGGCAGAAGTTGTGCAACAGACGTCAAAACAAGAGATGCATAAACACTGAAAATAACGATTTTCACAAAGTTTGTTCTGGTTTTAGCCCTTTTGGTAAGAAAAAACTCCATTAAAACTCTGATTCTGTTCAATCCAGCCAAAGAAATTTCATCACACCCCCATTATATTAATTAATGAAGACGAAGATTAATCAAAAGTTGAACAAGGAAAAAGAAGAAAAGTTGGTTTTGCTTGAGAGTTTCCAAAAAGTGAACAGAAGAAAGTATCGTCGAACTCCAATAATGCTGTTGGTTTTGGAATGGAAAATGCAGAAAGAACAGAAAAATTATGAGTTATTAGTATTAACATGAGACAAAAATCAGAAAAATACTTTTTACTTATTGAAAAATTCAAAATATTTTTAAATTTTAGAGATTCGACTCTTCTACATGTCAGACTTCAATTTCTTTATGTGAAATCATTATGCTGCTGCATGTTTTGGACTTTTGACACGTATATGTACGATGCACATGGAGGCCGCACTCTCCATCTAAAAAATATAGAAGCCATCAAATATTTGTTGGATTGTCACCCGCGCGAATAGTATGTACATGCTGGAAAATTAGTTGCGGATACTTGTTGAGAACAACAATTTTAATGAATAGAGTAAGAAAATTTATTACGATGCTTATCACAGTACGGTGTTCTAAAGTAAAATTGTTTGTGAACTGCAGTGCCCCTTTGAACAATTACTTCCATGATACAATTATCGAATTAATTCTATTGCAATTACAAGCGATTTTTAGAACTCTTAAATTTTGCTATAGAAAAAATAAATGTAAAATAATTCTTAAATCGATTTTGCATAGAAGTACATAAGACGAAATGTTTTCAATGTCTTTTTTCCAAGAAAAAGAGAGGTATATACAATCCACGAATTATAACTTCCAATAATAATTCGTAATGTAATAAAATAAAACCCTTGGTTTTATTATTTTACTGATTTTGGAGATTGTATAATGCTTACTTTGAAACTTTCCGTTTATACAGTAGTGATCCTTTTCTTTACTTTTCTTTTTTTTTTTTTCCTTTTTTTTTTTAAAATATTTTTTTTTTTTTTTTTTTTTTCCTTTTTTTTTTTCTATCTTCATATTTGGATTTCTATCTAATGATCTAGGACGTAATCCTAGACATGAAGAATAAAATTCAAAGTGTTTTTCTTGGTTAAATTTTAAGTTTGCTTAGGATTCTATTAATTCCACATGTTTAACTAAAATTTCCAAAATTTGAAAAAAAGAAATAAATAAATCATGTCATCAACTGAATGTTAGACCAATTAATGTGGTCCCGCGTAATATTATAAATAAATTAATATTTGGTCTATATATATTAAAAATCTGATTGGTCATTGAGAAGTGACAGTTTTGTAACTGTCCACTTTGATGGAAAGTGGGTAGTTTTGGCCTAAAAGAAAACTGCCTCTCTTTGCCTTTTTAACGTGAATGAAAAACCATCAATAAGAACATTCAAGAACAGTTTTATTTATTCTCACTGATTTCTCTTTTACAGATTTAATAAATTCCAATTTTCTTCATGGATCAAGGTATGTTACTTGATCAAATTACTCATACGTGAAAATCATAGAATTCCAAGATCTTGGCATTAAAGTATGAATTAATTGCTTACATGTGGTATCAGAGCCCAAGTTATGGAATTCATGATTTTTCGTTAAAGATTAATGTTTTACATTCATAGATCTTTAATTTTTCGTATCGATTTATGGATCAATGCGTAAAATAAGAATGACAGATTCCGCTGCAAATATGTTTCTGTTTTCTGATTGACTGCTGTTAAAATAATAAATGGATCTTTGATTTTTTACTGCACCGATATTAATCTGTGAAAAGAGCAGTCCCTGTTTCATCAGAAAAATTACACATCAATTGCATTTATTATTGTTTCACGTATTATGTAAATTAACGGATGGGATGACTTCCGTAGAAAACATTATTAATTCTGTCAAACCTGATGAATTGTTATTGGTTGAAGAAAAGTTGATTTCTTGGTTTTCACAATGAAAAGTGGATCTGTCGTCCACTGTACGTATATAATTTTGGAAGTTTCTGGGCTACCTTTCTGCCTATGAATTTATGGGGACCATCACCATTTATAACATGATTATTATATGAATAGAAATTGGAAACCTGACACATTGAAAGGAAAGAGTGCATGCCTATATTTATGTCAAATTGGCCTTTGTATCAAATGTTTATTTCAAAAGGGCTCTAATTCCAAGACAATGGCAGAACTGTGTGCATATTAATTTTATACAGTAACTACAGAAGGTGGTACGCTCACTGTTGAAATGACAGTATAAATGAGTGCCTAATTTACTGTAGTAATTCTGTAATTAGTGTAGTTTGGGTGTCGAATTTTTAAAGTATCTGGGCCATATATATATTAATTACTGACTGCCTCACATGAACGATTAATTGTACTATGTGATTAGATGACCACTTCAATTAATTTATCATGTGTTTTGTAGCTGGTCAAATGTACGTAAATCTGAAATTAATGTTATGTGATAAATATTTTGTTTATGTAATTTATGTTCAATTAATGTTGTTTGTTAGTCACCAAAGTGGCCAAACATTATGGGATGTAAACATTAAATTACATAATTTATTTGTCAAACACTCTTGATAATGTGATGCTTATAACAGGAAATGACATTAAAATTATTGACGTCAAGAGTGTATTGACGTTCATAGATTATAAAATTATTATGGATCGCCCAAAGGTTGATCGGTCAATTTTATTAATCTTGAACATGATCGTGGTTAATTGATATACTTAATTGGATGTGTTTTGTATATCCAAAGATGACAGGCATGTTTGATTGGAGTATGATTAATTACCAATTAAGTGAAATTTAATTAGCATCACTATGTTTATTATGATGGTATAACGTAGTATCACCCAAAGGAGAACTACGGTATACATTTATTGTTGTCCGAATCTGAACTAAGTGTTTAAGTCAAAACTCAAAGCATTAATGTTAGAGCATTTTATATTTTGCAGTGTCTGTTCCCGTTTCTCTGCATTCGCATGCTTCATCTGTACCACTGTTCAATGGGCTCAATTTCTCTGACTGGTGTGAACAAGTCCAGTTCAACTTAGGTGTTTTGGATTTGGACTTGACACTTCAAGTTGAGAAAACTGCTGATCTCACTGATGAGAGCAGTGTTGATGAAAAATCTTTCCATAAGGCTTGGGAAAGGTCTAACAGATTAAGCCTAATGTTTATGCGAATGACCTTGGCAAAGAATATCAAGTCTACTATCCCTAAAACTGAGAGCGCCAAGAAATATATGAAGTTTGTGGAAGAACGTTCCCAAACAGCTGACAAATCGCTTGCTGGCACACTGATGGGTACATTAACCACCATGAAATTTGATTGTTCTCGTACCATGCATGAGCACGTTACTGAAATGAGTAACATTGCGGCAAGACTTAAGACTCTTGGGATGACTGTGGATGAGAACTTCCTAGTACAGTTTATCATTAACTCTTTGCCTCCTGAGTATGGTCCATTCCATATGAATTATAATACCTTAAAGGACAAATGGAATGTGAATGAATTGCACAGTATGCTCGTGCAAGAGGAGACAAGGCTTAAGAATCAAGGAACTCATTCTATTCATCTTGTAAGTCGTCAAGGAGCTGGAAAGAAATATAAGAAAAGGTCTGGAAAGGGCATTAAGCAAGGACCACTAAAGATAAATGAGTCTTCTACCCAAATCCACAATAAGGAACACAAGAAAGATGTGTGCCATTTCCGTCGCAAACCTGGGCACCATAAAAAGGACTGCCTGAAACGTAAGGCATGGTTCGAAAGTAAATGTAAGATTATTTCTTACGTATGTTTCGAATCTAATTTGGCAGAAGTTCCTTATAATACTTGGTGGATTGATTCTGGATGTACCACTCATGTTACTAATACGATGCAGGGATTCCTTTCAACCCAGACCATAAATCCAAATGAAAAGTTTGTCCTCATAGGAAATCGAGTCAAAGCTCCAGTTGAAGCCATTGGAACCTATCGTTTGATTTTAGATACTGGACATCATTTAGATTTATTTCAAACACTTTATGTACCTTCCATTTCTCGCAATTTAGTTTCTTTATCAAAACTTAATTCCGCTGGATATTTCTGTAATGGTGGAAATGGATGTTTGAATTTGTTTAAGAAAAATCATCTTATTGGTTTCGCTATTCTTTGTGATGGCTTATACAAATTAAAGCTTGATAATCTTTTTGCTGAGACTTTTTTAACCTTGCATCATAATGTTGGTACTAAACGTGGTTTACTGAATGAACGGTCTGCTAACTTGTGGCATAAACGTTTGGGTCACATATCCAAGGAAAGGATGGAAAGATTAGTAAAGAATGAAATTCTTCATGACTTGGATTTTAGTGATCTTGGAATTTGTGTGGATTGTATTAAGGGTAAACAATCCAAACACACAAAGAAAGGAGCCACAAGAAGCACACAGCTTCTTGAGATAATACACACCGATATATGTGGGCCTTTTGATGTTTCATCATTTGGTGGAGAAAAGTATTTTATCACCTTTATTGATGATTTTTCACGTTATGGCTATGTTTATTTGTTGCATGAAAAGTCTCAAGCTGTAAATGCTTTCGAGATCTTTGTCAATGAAATTGAACGACAATTAGACAGAAAGGTGAAAATTATTAGATCTGATAGAGGTGGTGAATATTATGGAAAATATGATGAAACTGGACAACGCCCTGGTCCATTTGCTAAATTTCTTGAAAGACATGGCATATGTTCTCAATACACTATGCCAGGCACACCACAACAAAATGGTGTGGCTGAAAGGCGTAATCGTACTCTAATAGAAATGGTTAGGTGTATGTTGAGCAATTCATCTTTACCTATTTTCTTGTGGATGTTTGCATTAAAGACTGCCATGTATCTACAAAACAGGGTTCCTTGTAAGGCAGTTCCAAAGACTCCTTTTGAACTGTGGACGGGAAGGAAACCCAGTTTAAGGCACCTGCATGTTTGGGGTTGCCTGGCAGAAGCAAGAATTTATAATCCACATGAAAAGAAGTTGGACTCAAGAACAATCAGTGGATTTTTCATTGGTTATCCAGAAAAATCAAAGGGATATAGATTTTATTGTCCTAATCATAGTACTAAAATTGTTGAAACTGGAAATGCTAGGTTCATTGAGAATGGTGAAGTTAGTGGGAGTTTGGAACCACGAAATGTGGAAATACAAGAAGTTAGAGTTCAAGTTTCTCTACCCTCAACTTCTTCTAATGTTGTTGTTCCTCAAATTGTTAGACGGCATAACA